CCCTCGTAGAATCAAAGCTCCTCCTTGACGTCTGTTACCGCTCGGCAGAGAACATGCTCGCCGAGATGAACACGGTCCGCAAGTTCAACTAGTACGGATTTTCTATAATTTTCTAACTATTTTCTAAGTTTATATTTATATATATACTACATTTGGGTACGGTGATTGACAGACTACTACGACGATATCGGGACATATGAATAAATAACCATCCGTACTAGTTGAACTTGCTTACGTGATCATCTCGGCAAGCATTTCTCCACCGGACGGCACCGTACTTGGCCACGGAAGAGCTCCGATTCTACGAGGAAGGGAACACGGTCTTCCACGACCGTTGCCGCTCTCCCTCATAGAATCAAAACTCCTCCTTGATGTTCGTTACCGCTCGACAGAGAACATGCTCGCCGAGATGAACACGGTCCGTAAGTTCAACTAGCTACTTTAACCTTATTTCATGTAAATATGCAAGCTTGAAGTGATTTTGAGCTAAAATTGCTTACAAATGAAAAAAACCACAATAAAGAACCATATATATATATAGTGAACAAAATGAGATAAGACAATGGTGAAAAATGAGAGTATGAGATTGGTAACCTTTACAACTGAAGAATCGACGGAGGAATCGAAGAAATCGACGGAGGAATCGAATAATGGATGGAGGAACAATGGAGGGAGGGAGGAAGCAAGAACACTAGTGCAGTGAGCTTCAAAATGTGCTGAGCTCGGGCTCGGGGAGGAAGAAGGAGACGGCCGGGATATAAAGGGGGGACCTTTAGTCCCGGTTGGTGGCTCCAACCGGGACTAAAAGTAACTTTCCAACCCCGGACGCAGCCATAGCCCGAGAGTAGACCTTTACTTCCGGTTGGAGCCACCAACCGGGAGTAAAAGTATACCTTTAGTCCCGGTTGGTGGCTCCAACCAGGACTAAAGGTCCCTGCCACCTCTGCCTGGCGCAGTAGCCGTTGGGGCAGGGACCTTTAGTCCCGGTTGGAGACACCAACCGGGACTAAAGGTATTTCTAGTCCTGGGCGTAAAAAATTCTGGGACTAGAGCCCATTTTGACCGAGGATCAAAGGTCTGTTCTCTACTAGTGACCCCTTTAGTCCCGGATGCTTGCTCCCAGGTGGGGAACCGGGACTAGAGGGGGTTCCCCACCGAGAGTAAAGCTCTGTTCTCTACCAGTGAGATCCAAATCAAATTTGAATAACATAACTTTCCGTTAAAATGCCCTAACAAGATAGTAGTTTTCCCTGTTTTATTTTTTCTCTACTATTCTTCTTTTGCAACACTAATTACGGTTCAAACTCTGATCGTGTTAATCTGACATTAGGGGTGTGTTTGGCAAGGATTGGGCTACTCTAATAAACGTTCCTAGAGAGAAACTAATTCTATTTCTCAAGTGAAACTGGTTTTTCTAGCTTGTGTAAGAAAATCCGATGAATGTTTCTGGTCATGACTAAAATTTCAGAATCGTTTTGCTGTGTTTCTACTGTTTCTCTAAAAAATCAGTTTCCATAGGGACTCGGGCCTTGATTAGTTCATTCCCCTAAAGTTTACTCCATATCCCATCGAATGTTTGACGCATGCATGGAGTATTAAATATAGACTAAAAAATAACTAATTGCACAGTTTGTGACTAATTTGCGAGACGAATCTTTTAACCATAATCAGTCTATGATTTGACAATGTGGTGCTACAGTACACACATGTGCTAATGATGGATTAATTAGGCTTAATAAATTCATCTCGCGGATTACTAACGAATTCTGTAATTTATTTTTTTATGAGTATCCGAACACCCCATGCGACACCCTATATGACACCCGATGTGACACCTTAAAACTTTACACCCTGAATTTAAATAAAGCCTCGGATGTTTTTTTTTGAAGAATCCCTACCAAACACACCCTAGCTCTGGTGAAGCATCAGTCTCGATTTACCTATCAAATATTTATTGGCCAGCACCAGCATTTTAAATTTGGAAACAACACATCAGTGGTCATTAAACTTATTCACTAATATCATTAAGCTCCCTCATTAATATCATTAAGTTCCCTAAACTATCAATTTGAATTTTTGTTGGTTCATTCGAGGTCCTCTAATCACTGTAAGTTAGGCTAGTCACTGTACCAAGCATCTGTGCTTCGAAAGTTCTGCCATTCCATGTGCAAGACAATTCCCTGATGGGAGGTTGGGAGATTGACAAAAATGCAGTATCTGCAACAAGTTGTCAGGCATGATATCATGCATACTTCAGCATCATCATGCGGAATTTAATTGTCATTTCCTTAGCAAACAATAGCTGTTTGCTAAGCTGAACCAGAGCCAAGAGCTTGAAGCGCTAATGCTGGTGTTACTCCGTATTAGTAGGGCTGACATTTGTTTTTATATGCCAAAAAAAACTTGTTATAGTCTGGGCCACTGCTGTTCTTGAGAGTTGAGGCCTTGGAGGATCGCCGTCTTCGGCTGCATCGATCATATATGATGAGTGCATTAATTACGATTTTCAAAATATAATTTCTGTAGATATGATTTTATATGTGGCCACCAAAAAAATTCCAAAAATATAATTTCTGTACGATACGATTTTCGTCATATAGACATAGTTTTGGTTCAACCTCACTTTTGTATAGTTACATAAATTTATAGGGTAAAAGTATCTACCTCTTGTGAGCCTCTCTCACCACTTATACATATCCACCTCAATCCACATGTGTTAGCATAGATTGGAGTGAAACTTAAATGAACTTACACTCTAATCTACCTCAGCACATGTAGATTGAAGTGAACATAAGTATCAAACAAACTCTCAGGTGGTGCGACCACGCCGGCTGACACCATCTGGGCCAGGGCCGCGTTTGTTGAGGCTTGAGGGTGTTGGAGTGAGCATGTGCACTTTTAAACATTCAATAAAAATAGTATAATCAAGTTGTAAAACTCACATTGTAATCATCTAGTAAATAGTGCAATCAAGATAATTTAAATAAATAAGGCACGGCTATAAGCAATGAAACACTAGAAATATGAATAAATTATATCTAAATAACTTCAAATAGAGCACAATGAATAGATAGCATTTTTTTGAAAAAAAAATCAAGACTACTTTCATATCTTTCTGATTTAAAACAAATTACTTATGGATTTTTATAGAATAAATAGGATTTATATTATTTTAGAAAATAGGAACCCACCTTTGAAACTAGCTAGAGGACCAAATTTGCACGGCTGTTTCACTAAAGCCCCAAGTACAGAAAATGTGATTTTTTTTAAGTATTAAAAAAGTTTTTTTTTGCGAAACCGAAACTTTATTAAAACTTAAGTAATGTCTTTACAAGATTGAGTGGCAATCCACTCCGGAAAACAAGAAAAAAACACCTAACACTCCCTAGACCTAATAGCAAACTGCGCTAAATCATGTGCCAAATTATTCTGGACTCTACTAATCTGAGAAAATTCAATCCTACTCAACTGACCCCAAACCTTGCACGCCCCTTCAATGAGTTGGCAAATCGACGATCGATCACGAGTGTTCTCTTTGAGTTTGGTGACTACCGAATGACAATCTGATTCCAGGATCATCGGAACCTCCGGCCATCTATGTGCCAGATGAACACCTTCCAGACAAGCACGCGCTTCAGCTTCCTCAGCATCCCTGCAATGGAATATGACATGCCAGGTGGTTAGTTTCAAGTCTCCGACCCAATCTCTAATTACCACTCCAATCGCAGCTTCGCCTGTCTGCAGATTATAGCTAGCCATGCAGCCCGAGGCACGACGGCACGGCACGAAGCCCGCTTTTTTAGCCCGACACGAGCACGGCACGGCCCGGTGGCATGCGGGCCCGGCTGGCCCGGACCGAGGGAGCAGGCTGTGCCTGGGCCGCTGCTCAGGCCCGTGGGCTGGCACGGCACGGCCCCGCCTGTGTCGGTCGGCCCGGCAGCGGCCCGATGCAAGCCATGGCCTGCTAAAAGGCCCATCGCTCTAACCCTAACTCCCCCGTCCCCGCACACGCCCCTCCTCTCCCCCACGCCGTCACGCCCCTCCCCTCCTCTCCCCCACGCCGTCGCGCCCCTCCCCTCCTCTCTCCCACGCCCCTCCTCTCCCTCACGCCGTCACGCGGCCGCACCTGCACCCTCACCCCTCCTATCTTCTAGCGTTTCCCATCGAATCCGGTGTGGCCACCGGGGTGTGCCCGTCGGTCGTCGCCTCATCGAGACCCGCGCCCGTCCTCATCGAGCCCCGTGACGATGGAGTCCACGGCCGAATCTCGGGCGCGCGGTGGAGTCCGTGGCCAGATCTCGGATGTGCGGTGGAATCCGCGGCCAGATCTCGGGTGCGCGGTGGAATCAGCGGCCGGATCTCGGCCGCCCCACCTCCGCTTATGCACCGGTGGAGGAGAAGATGAACGGTGCTGGCAAAGAAGTGGAGGGGCGCCGGCGGCAGCTGGAGGAGGTGATGGAGCGACAATGACGTGGTGGGCGACCGAAAAGTCGCCTCGGCGCCACCGCAGCCGCAGCCCGCAGATGGCGCCTCGACCTCGCGTCCTCCGTCCTCTCTCCTTCCCTGGCGATCTCGGGCCTCGGGCGGCCTGGCCATTAAAAAAGCCGTGCTTTCAGGCCGGCCCGCACGGAAAGTGGCTCGACAGGCCATGCACGGGCCGTCGGCTAGGCATGGTGGATCATGGCAGCGGCCCGGCGGCCCGTCGTGTTTCACTGCGTGTTGTGCCCTATCGGGGCCGTGCTGGCCGGGCCGGGCGTCTTAATGGCCAGCTATACTGCAGATTGAAGGCAGCATCAACATTGATTTTGAAAGTACCTAGGGGTGGAGGACTAGGCCCAGTTCGCTTCTCTTATAATCCGTCTTTTTCAGCTTGTTTTTTTAGCCGGAACAGTATTTTCTCTCTCACAACAAATCAGACGGAACAGTGTTTCGGCTTGTTTTTTCAGCGAAGCGAACAGGGCCATATCTTCTTAACCCGATTCATTGCCGGACCCTTTCTTTTACTCAGTCGGTATCAGACTGTGTTTGCCTTTGTTATCTAGAGGGTCTCCCTGTTGCCGGATAGTGAATAGTGAGTGCATGTAATGATTCAAAAAGATGACAGAGCTCCCAATACAAGCTGAAGCCCCCTCATGTATAATTTTCTTCCGTATGGTCCAAGTATGCCAGAGAAGCAGAAAGAAGCTAGTCAATGCCTCCATGCAATAGTTGAGAGCAATCTGTAGCAGCCACTCTGGCCCAGACCAAATAAGATCCTTCTCAGAAGGCAGAGAGCAATGGTCTCTCATTGCCGCCCGGACTGCAGCAGCATGGGGGCAGCTGATGACCGCATGGTAGGCATCTTCACCTTGAGAACCACACAGCTGACAAATATCCTGCTGCTCAAGATGACGGTGCTTCTTATTGACACGAGTAGGCAAACCATTGTTGACAATTTTCCAGATAAAAACATTAACCTTAGAAGGGACTTTAACACTCCATACCTTCTTCCATACCGCCCGACCCTGTTCTGAACTTGAGCTGCTACCAATCTGACCGACACCATACCCATTCCAGACAGCAAGCCTATATGCACTTCGGACAGAGAACAAACCATTTTTCTCATAATGCCAAGCAACAAAATCTGAAGTACTAGACGGCAGCAGCTTGATCTTAAAAATCTCTGATGCATCACAAGGAAAAAAGTACCTGCGCATGGCTGTTTCATCCCATGTACCATTATCAATCAGGTGGTGCACCCAACACAGTCTGCACGCTCGCTTTGGACCAATTGGTTTCAGGCCGTGACCTCTCGAGAGCCAATTGTTGCGCCAAATTTGAGTGGATCTACCATCACCTATCCTCTTGATGACGCCGAGCTTTAACAATTCCAGCCCATACTCAATTGCTCTCCACGTTTGGGATGCCTCTCCCGCAAGAACAGAATCTAGCAACTTGCCCTTAGGGAAGTATTTTGCTTTAAGAACTCTAGCACAAAGGCTATCAGAATAAGCTAGCAGCCTCCATGCTTGTCGGGCGAGCAACGCTTGGTTAACAAGTCTCAGGTCCCTGAACCCCATTCCTCCAAATCCCTTTGGCATTAACATTTTCTCCCATGGGATCCATTGCATCTTCCTTCTTCATTTTCAGCACCCCACCAGAAAGCTCGTATTTGCTTCATGAGGTCGTCACACAATGTAAGGGGCAGTTTGAAAACACTCATAACATAGACAGGTAAAGCCTGGGCAACCGATTTGATCAAAACTTCCTTCCCCACAGCAGACAAATTTTTTTCCTTCCACGCTACCATCCTCTTATGGAAACGTCCCTCAAGGGGTTGAAACAGTCCTCGCCGGACTCTTCCATGAGGGGTTGGGAGGCCCAAATATTTTGCTTCAAAATCCAATCTTTCCACCCCCAGCGTCAGGCGCACTTGATCTGCGATCTGCTGATCACAATTCTCATTAATTAACAAGGAGCATTTGTTAGGACTAAGAAGCTGACCTGAACATCGCTCAAAAGTAGAGAGAACATCCTTGATAACCAGCGCCTGATGCACATTGGCTCTGAAGAATAATAGGCTATCATCCACAAATAGCAAGTGAGACACACTCAGTGCCCTCCGACACACCTTAACTCCATCAATATTTCCCAGCCGCTCATTGTGCTTCAAAAGTGTAGACAAACCATCAGCCACAAGCAAGAATAAGTATGGTGAAAGCGGATCACCTTGCCGTAGACCACGTGTAGGGGAGAAGGGCTGCGACGTCAACCCATTGAAGCGAACCGTATAGCGTACAGATGAAACACAAGACATGATCCACTGCACCCAACGACTTTGAAAGCCCAGCTTCTCCATCAAGCTTTGTAAAAATCCCCAATCCACCTGGTCATATGCCTTCGACAAATCCAGATTATACGCACAAAAATCCTTGCCTCTGTCTTTTTGAATAGCATGCACACATTCAAACGCGATTAAGGCGTTGTCTGTAATTAGTCTGCCCGGCACAAACACACTTAGCTCCTCTGAAATGATGCTGTCCAAAAAAGGTCTTAGCCAATTAACCAGACATTTCGAGATAACCTTGTAAATCACATTACAAAGACTAATCGACCTAAAATCTTTGAGCTCCACAGGATCTGCCCCTTTTGGTATGAGAACAATAGCCGTATCATTTACCCCTGGGGGAGATAACCATCCTTGAAAAAACCTTTAACAGCAGCAACCACATCCTCCTTGACCACCTCCCAATGCCTCTGAAAAAATCTTGCCGGAAAACTGTCAGGGCTTGGAGCTTTTAATGGACCCATCTGAAACAAAGCATCAGCTATCTCTTCTGCAGAAAAATCCTGGCACAGGTCATGATTCATATTGTCTGTTATCTCCGGCTCAATGAGATCTATGAGTTCATCAGGCACAACATTTGGATCAGCCGTGTAGAGATCACTGAAAAACTTGGACGCCATACGCTGCATCTGTCTAGGATCGTCACACCAATTTCCTTCCTGATCCTTTAACTTCTTGATTTTATTTTTGCGTGCTCACCAGACAGCTTGCTTATGAAAATAGTTAGTATTTTGATCACCTTCCTTCAACCATGCAATCCGAGAACGCTGGAGCCACATCATCTCTTCTCTGTACAAAAGTTCATCCATGCGGTCAGTGATTCGACGCACCTCACGATTGCTACATAACGGGTCCGTTCTCGCTTCTTCTAGGCTTGCTCTCAATTCCTCAAGTTCCTTGGTGACCATGCCAAAATGCTGCTTACTCCAAGACCGTAGAGCACATTGCACACGTTTCAGGGCAGCAACCACGCCACCCAACCCCTCTCTATTGGCATCAGTACACCACGCATTCTTGATCTCCAAAGGTAAGGACTCAAGCCGCTCCCACATTATTTCGTAACGAAAAATCCTTGGTTTATGTCGTTCCCAGCTCTCCTTTCTAATTTCCAGAAAAAGTGGACAGTGATCTGAACGTGATGACACTAGGTGGTGAAGCACAGCATCACCAAACAAATCCCGCCACTCCGGACAGGCCACAGCCCTGTCCAACCTCACCTTCACGTTTGCATTTTCTCCACGCCCATTATCATAGGTGTAAGGCAGACCTGTGAAACCCAAATCTGTGAGTTCGCAGTCAGCAAGCGCATCTCCGAAAGCAACAATCTGGCGTTCAGGTCTCGGACATGCAAAAAAAATGTTGATAACCCCACATTGCTTCATTGAAATCCCCAATAGCCAACCACGGCTCCATGGACCTGCCCCGCAGACGCCTGAGTAGCTCCCACATAACATGTCTTTGGTCAGTCCGTGGCTCTCCTTACACAAAGGTAACACGGGTTCTTGGCTCCGAAGGAGATTCTCTAACATGAACATCAATATATCGCTGATGTTTTTCAATCAGTGAAACATCCACCGACTCATGCCAAAACAAGGCTAATCGTCCCCCACTTCTAACACTATCCACAGTTATGCAGTTTTTCAAGCCCAATCTCCATCTTAAATTCGCCACTCTTCCACCTTTCATGCGAGTCTCCTATAAGAAGACCAACATGGGACTTTTTTCTCTAGCAAGAGCAACAAGCTCTTGAACTGTCCGGGGGAGTCCCAACCCCCGGCAGTTCCAGCTGAAAATATTCATTGCTCCTGACGGGCCTCGCCATGAGGACCCGTCAGGTTGATAGACAGCTGCTCACCATCACCCTTCTTGCTCCAATTATCTGCACCATCTTGTACCTTCCTCCGTTTGCTAGAAACATCCAACACTTCAGAGTTCGCACTGAGATCTTGGTTTATCACATTGAGCTCCAGATCACTGTGTTTTCCAAGAACTCCCAGACTATGTTTCAGAACTGCAGCACTCTGTTGAACAATTTCTCGCAGCTTGGGCTTGAGGTGATCACCCCGACAGACTGTGACAAGCCACTCAGCCTCGCCTGCAGACATAGTTGGACACTCAGCTCGCACTTTTCAAATCTCTTCTGAAACTGTATCCAGACCCACAGCAGCCCCGGCCACTGCTCCCGCCGGCAACTGGATATTGTCAGACGAGGAACAGTGCCTTTCCTTGAAATTACGCTGAACCTTTGTACGCTTCGAATCAGCCATCTGATCCTCCCACTCCTTAGCAACACCATGTGCCACCTCAGCCACTGCTTTGTGAAGGACAAACTTTAAGGTTTTCCTAGTCTATCATATCAGGTATGGCTCTGGTGGGATATTGCTTTACCATAAAGGAGAGGTGTAGCTATTCATTTTAACTTTTTGAAATAAAATTCTCTAATAACAAGACATCAAGAATCAAATTCTCATTATTCTACTGTATCTCATTCCACAACAACTAAGTAGCATGGGGTCCCTAATAATAAGTTCCCAACAATAGCAAGACTTTCTGGAAAAGTATCATGTGAGTCTATCCTTTAGTCATAACTAAAATAATCTTTCCTCGGGTTTTAAGTTGTTTTATCAAAGAATTTTCAATTCGTTCGAGACAGAAAGAATAACATGTGAAAATCAAACATATGGGCCGCTCACCTGACCGTAGACAAATGTGAGGCGAGAGGGCACTGTAGTGGGCCAATCGGCCCATAGGAGAGACCGGGCGACCTGGCCCGATGCCTATTTGGGTCCAGCTTTGGTTGACATGGTTCTTGGTCCATTACTTTCTGAATTTCGTGATCTTCGCGATTGGATTCTGTTCTGTTGTCATGGTGTGCTTCCCCTACACTTGTTTCCTATACTTTATGCACAACATGTGGAAACAAACACATATATCCAAAAATAAATAGAGAGTAGTGTTGCTATTTCTTAGCGTCGCTACTAAGAACAGAGTTTTAAATCTAGTCCCTAGCAACAGAGTCAGAGATGCTTGTTGGTATTTATTAACGTGTCACTTGTTATTAAATAGCCACCTATTATAAACATATATCTCCTAATTTTACTAGGTTGTCATCCCTAGTGATGATATCAGAGATACTTGTTGGTACTACATAACATTACTACTAGAATAATACTAAGCAGTTCTTTATTAATTATGTGACTAGGAAGAATAAATAAATATATAAATGAAAAGGATCTGCAAGCGCACAGATAATATACCATTGTAGCATTTTACCCAAGAATTTTCCAGATACCGTTATTTATATTTTTACCACAAGGAAGGTCCAGCATGGACATGTATTGATAACTTATACTATTGAAGAAGAAGTAAACCATAACTAATATTCTACTCATAACAAGGGTAAGTCATAGTATAAGATATATATATATATATATATATATATATGATGAGTATTGATCAATGATAATGATAAATCACTCAGAGTACTCCTTTCTATGCCATTAACATGGTCAGATAGAATATTAGAAAAATAATTCCTAAGTCATTCTTAATTACAAGTCAAAGCATACATTGATTAGTACAATTATACCTAGTAATCATTGCTAAGATCATCGTCATATCTACACATAAGGGATATTACTAAGGAAGATTAAGAACAGAGCTTGCTCTTCCTTCGTAACTGAACCCTACGTGCGCCTATATTCGGGGAGTGGACTACAAATGACTCAATGGGAGTGTCACATCTGTAATCTACCACATGACCCAGAATACAGAGTGTATCCGCAGGTAAACAATGTATAAGCACCATGCTACACAATGTCGACCACCCACCCATGGATCCTTAGACTGAGCGCTATATGAACTTATACATGAACATAATGATAATCCAACTATACTAAGCATATAATCAAAGTAGACCAAGAATATTATAACAAAGAATATGAATAAGATGAATACTGATATTGTCATAACAATTATAACTAGCATATAAAAGTAATAGAGATACAAAAGAGAGAGGGGTACAAAGATTATACCAAACCACGCTCTTGACAAGATCAGGAATCCAAGCGAAGCCTGCTTGCCTCCCTCTAGACCTAGGGACGATCTCTCTAACAGCCATTGGAACTAGGGAGGAGAAGAGCTTTTCTCCTATTCGAGAAAGGAGGCTTGTTGGAATGACTATGGAGACAGGTAGGGGCTCGTTTATATAGGGGGGCCAACTTGCAACAGGGGTCAAGATCTATCCATTAGGGTCTCGTAACGAAGGAAAAATGAATGGGGCGAAAAACTATGGGATTGTAGAGGGGAAGGTTCTAGAATACACGAGAGAATCGACCAGAGGCGAGGTGGCTTACAAGGGGGTCGGTCGGTCTGTAGGTGGGACCGGTAGGTCCAACATGGTGGCCCCCATGGAGATTTTTCTCACGGTGGTTTCTAATACCTATCTAATCCCAAAAAGTATATTTATCCATTACGAAACATAAAGAGGATGGCAGTGGTGTAAATCTTTGGTAAAATCAGAAAATCTACCTCATCCAAATCCTCAGGTGATTTTTTAGGTTCTAGAAAGATCTTGAGACAGTGGCCATTTACCTTGAATAACGTACCTTCATCGTTTTGAAGTGTTACCGCTCCATGCGACGAGGTGCTTATAACCTTGAATGGTCTCTCCCATTTGCTCTGAAGTTTTCCATGCCCGAATAATTTGACCCTAGAATTAAAAAGTAACACCTTATCTCCTAGGGCGAACTCCTTCTTCTTGATCCTCTTGTCATGCCATCTTTTAGTTCTCTCCTTGTATATCTTGGCTTTGTGATATGCTTTTTCATGCCATTCATCAAGTTCAGAGAGTTGCATCTTCCTCTTGGTTCCTACAGCTTCAAAGTCCATGTTCCATCGGTTTATAGCCCAATGAGCTTTGAATTCTAGCTCAATAGGTAGATGACAGGTCTTTTCATAGACGAGTTGATATGGTGACATCCCAAGTGGTGTTTTATAGGCCATTCTATAAGCCCATAATGCATCAGGTAGTCTATCCTTCTATGCAGTCCCCATCTCGTTGACCGTCTTCTATAGAATATTCTTGATATCTTTGTTCGATGTTTCTGCTTGGCCACTTGTCTGAGGGTGGTATGGAGTAGCGATGTTGTGATGGATCCCATGTCTTAACAAGTACTTGTGAAAGTTCTTGTCTGTGAAGTGAGTGCCTCCATCACTAATCACCATTCTTGGAACTCCAAAACGTGAAAATATTGTTTCTTCAAACATCTTCCTGGAGTTCTTAGCGTCAGTAGCTCTACATGGCATGGCTTCAACCCACTTAGAGACATAGTCAACTATCACTAAGATGTATTCATAATTCTTTAACTTTGGAAATGGTCCCATGTAGTCAATACCCCAGACATCGAAAAGTTCGATCTGGAGGTTGTTGGTGAGTGGCATGGCATCTCTTGAATTGATGTTCCCATGCCTTTGACATGCTCCACACCTCTGGATGAAGTCCTTCATATCTTCATACATGGTTGACCAAAAGAATCCACTTTACCAGATCTACAAATGAGTGTGGAATGCAACATAATGTCCTCCATATGGTGATGAATGGCATCGTTCTATGATTTTAAAGCCTTCCTCTACTGGCACACACCTTCTGAGTAGGCCATTAGAGTAGATTCTGAAGAGGTACCGCTCATCCCATATGTGGAGACGACATTCATAGATGAGCTTCCTTTTGTTCTCCCCTAGTGGTACATAACCTGCAACCATAAAATTAACAATATTTGCGTACCAAGGGTCGGATTTTGTAATCTTGAAGAGCATGTTGTTCCAAAGCGAATCGTTGATGGGCAATTCCTATGAATTCTCAAACTGCACTCCGGACAAGTGATCGGCAACATAATTTTCTACTCCTTTTTTATCTTTTATTTCTCAATCAAATTTTGGATTAGCAAAATCCATCTTATAAGTCTAGGTTTAGCATCTTTCTTAGTAAGGACGTATTTTAAAGCAACATGATCAGTATAAATAATCACCTTAGGTCCTACTAAGTAAGATATATATTTATCAATAGCAAAAACAACAGCTAGGAACTCTTTTTCAATTGTTGCATAATTAAGTTGAGGTCATGTCAGAGTTTTGCTAGCATAAGCAATTGCATGATGTGTTTTATCTTTAGTTTGTCCCAAAACTGTCCCTACAGCATAATCACTAGCATCACACATAATTTTAAAAGGTAGTGACCAATCAGGGGTTGAATAATTGGTGCAGAGATGAGTGCTTTCTTAAGAATTTCAAAAGATTTGAATCATGCATCATCAAAATTAAAGGGAATATCCTTGGTCAAAAGATTTGTTAGAGGTCTAGCAATGTGTGAAAATATTTTATGAAGCGGCGGTAAAAGCCAGCATGACCAAGAAAACTACGGATCCCTCTGATATTTATGGGAGGAGTTAACTATTCAATTACTTCAATTTTAGCTCTGTCTACCTCAATCACTCTTTCGGACACCAGGTGTCCAAGCACTATGCCTTCTCTAACCATGAAATGACATTTTTCCCAATTAAGGACTAAGAGCTTTTCTTCACATTTTTGCAATATCTTGTCTAAATTTTTAAGACAGTCATCAAAAGTTTTTCCATAAATAGAAAAGTCATCCATGAAAACTTTTATGATTTCTTTAATCATATCAGAAAAGATAGACATCATGCATCTTTGAAAAGAAACTAGAGCATTACATAGCCCCAAAGACATTCTACGATAAGCATAAGTTCCTTATGGACATGTAAAAATGGTTTTGCTTTGGTCATCTAGATGGATTAGTATCTGGTGATAACCTGAATACCCATCAAGGAAACAGAAGAAAGAGTGATTTGCCAGTCGCTCCAACATTTCATCAATGAAGGGCAACGAAAAATGATCTTTCTTTGTTGCCTTGTTAAGTTTTTGGTAGTCAATACACATCCGCCATTTAGTGATGGTTCTTTGGGGCATTAATTTATTCTTTTTATTTTTAACAACAGTCATACCTCTCTTTTTAGGCACAACCTGAACAGGGCTTACCCACTCACTATACGAAATAGGATAGATGATCCCGGTGTGTAGGAGTTTT